AGAGGGTTAAGTCTTAGTTGCTCTAAGAACATTTTATTTCTAAGACAGAAATACATATCTGAAGAAAATGTGACAAAATATTAACATCTGTCAAATGTGAGTTGTGGATAAAAAGTTGTCCAAATTTTTATCTGTACTTTGCTAAGAATTTTAGTATATTCTAAAATTTAAAAAATAGTTTGCGACATTCCAGTTACTACTAATTAATTCTATTTTCTTGGCGCTAGTACAACAGAAAACTTATTGTGTGACCCAATTAAATCTAAAACTTGAATTTGAATTAGTATTATAAACACTTATTCCATGCTTATATGTGCAAGGCACTTGAGCTAGTATTAAGTAGGTATACAAAATTTTAAAAGAATTGGCTTCAAAGATTTTCCAGTCTAGCAGCATCACAAACTAATTTTGTTAAATCTCAAGAATAAGGTAAATATATCTTTCTGTGGAGATGTAAACTTTTTTCACAGATTAAAGTCTGGGGAAAACTTATATGGTTATCTACATTTAAAAAAAAAAAAACTAAGAAACTCATCAAAAACATATTCTTCAACCTTGGATTTTGATAAATGTTAAAGTATAATTTAGAAATAGCATATATGAAAAGAGTAGTACATCCGAGGTACAATGTCATCTCATGATCCCACATAAAACACAGATAAAGCTTATAGAGCCAAACAGACCATGCATATTAAAAAACAAGAAAGGTATACAATTTACATGTAACTCCAATTCTTTTTTAAAAAATCAACACAGTACTTCTTATTTATAATATATAACAAAATGACAGAAACAAATCACTGGGTTTTTCCTTTCCTTTATTTTGCTGTTTCCTTAATTTGCATTGGAAGAAGGAAGACTTTTTTGTTTTTAAAGAAAATGAGAAAAATAATTTTTGAATATATAGGTATAGTTAAAATGGCATTTCAATCTTCACAAGACTAATCCTATTAGGCTTTTTTTGTTTTTACTAAGTTTATATAAGACAATTACTTTATATATTTATAATTTAAAATGTAAGCATAAATTTTTAATTGAATTTATCAAAATTTGATTAAAAAAATATAGGTAGCCTCTATTCAGAAACTATTTGTAAAATGTTACTAGGATTTTTTCTTTGCATAAGAATAGACATGTTCTCACCATTTGCTATCAACTGGCACAATTTACTTAGTGAAAAGATCATGACCATCATCATTAGGTTACTCTTTGAACCTAAAGACCGTTCTGCCAGCTTTTTAGAAACTGTACACATATAATGTTGATGATGGTACTACTGATAATCATACCGCCTTAACCTACACGTTACAGTTTACGATGCACTTCTAAATACATTATCTTGTTAGATATCATCAATGTACTGAGAAACTCAATTGACAGGAGCATCAGAAAGATCTCCTATATTCTATATTCAAAGTATGATGTTTCAAGGCATATACAAAAAGAAAATAGTCTAAGTTCAAGGATGAACAAAGGACAAACACTTTAAAACAATAAAAACTGAGTTGAAATGGTAGGGTTTATACTATCAGTCACAATTCTTTCTCCTCTGAAAACGATTCTGATATTATATCACCAATGTTCAAAGTTTTAGCGATCTGAAAAATTTCACCCAATTTTCTACTTACTGCTCACTGCCCTATAAAGCATCTTTTAGAATTTAAATTTAAAGGAAAATTTCTATCAATAGAGCTTCTTCATGTTTATCTAAAATGAAGCATAAAGATCTAAAAGCTGGACAGTGTGTTTACGTGTGTGTGCACATGTGCATCCGTGTGCGCGTTCACAGAGAAAATGAACACTAACTACTAGAAAATATAAAAGAAGCACATTTATTATAAATAAATGCTTAAAGAAAATTTTTTAAAAATGAATATAACCTATAATGACCACTCTACGGGTAAATATAAAATGCTTTTTAACTACTTAAAATAAATTTTAGAATGTACCTGTGGTGTCCAGGAAACAGAAAATGAAACAGGAAAATCCACAAAACAATCTGGTGATTCTGCAGGATACTATGAAAAAGCACAAAATTAGGTCATTTTTGCTTCTATGTGACAATTTCACATGAGAGATTTTTGGAAAAAAAAAACTGCATATATTAGGAAAAGTATTATAAATGCAAATGTATTATAAATATTTTGATTCTATTATAGAGATGTCGAGAACTGATTAATAGTCAAGTTATGCTCAGGAGGTACAAAGTTTAGTGACTTGGAGGTAACAAAGCAATCAGTTTTGAGTAAAGAGTAATGAATTAAGTCACTGTTGGGTCAGCTGCTAACGTGATCTGAGGATTAAATCACACTGGATTTCAATTTCTTCTTCTGTTTTTACTTTCTGTTGTCCTTTTCATTTTTATTGGATCTCAGGTTCTTTTTCTTTAAAATGAGAGCTCAAACTAGTTGATATTAGTTTCCTTTCCATCTAAAATTTAATCTCAAATAACCTCAATTACTATTTAAAGAAGTAGTATCTTTTAAAAGAATCAAGAAATGCAAAAAAATATAAACAACTATCAACTTGAAAAAGTATTTTCCACAATTAAGCAATTACTATCCGCAAGAAGATTAATTTTAAAAAAATGCCTCTGGCTTATTAAGGAAAGACGAAAGTAGTAGTTTTAAGCAAGAAAAACTTTTTCATAGTTAATAGAAAATTAAGTCAACAATTTTACAAAAAGTGAGTCATAAGGACAAATCAAGTTTTGAAGTTAACAAAATGTCTTTCTTAAAATCAACTTTGTTATTAGACATAATACTACATGATTCTCTAAAATCCAATTCTAGATTTTTCAAAGTCATGTGTAACTAAAAAATACTCATTATTTGCCATTAAAAAGCTAAAATGGAAAATTAGTTTTAGGAAAACTTCTTTCATTTGACAATGTTTAAAATAAGTTTTATACTTTCATTTTTTCCAGCTTATTTTTCACTACTTTGCTGAATAAGCAAAAGAAGATAAAAATTATCACTATAGAATTTAACAAACATCACTTCATCTGAAGTCAATGCTTTGAAAAGAATTAACATTTAATTCAGCTGGCTAGAAACAAACTTAACGTACACTCTGACTTAATGGATTCTATGTAGAACTGATAACGAAGGCAAGTATATAGGAAACGATATAAAAATATAACAATGCTCTAATTTGGAGAAAAAAAGGTCTGGCTGAAATTAAAGAGGGAGCTCTATTTTAGACAATTAAAGTATCAGATGATGCATGTAAGAGTGTAACTGCAATAATCACTGGAAAAATAATTTGTATGCCATTTTTACAAGTCGTGATTATTTCAAAGTAATGCAGGCAGACACTTTAGCTTTCTCTGGTTTTCAGCTCTGCTAACTAATTTTTGTGATTTTGGAGAAGTCAGTAAACTTCTCTGGCTGTTTTATATGTAAAAATGATGAAATTCGACCAAAAGCGTTATAAAATCTCTTTTCTAAAATGTTAAGATTCTATGAAACTAATAAGCCACACTTGAAATCTCCACAGTCAAAAATTGAATAGTTTACTTTGAGTTACTGTTATTTATCTCCTACTGATGCTGACAATGAACAGTATCAACTAACTTAAACAAATCATCAATTTGAGTAAAAGTATGAAGTTAATGAAATGTATATGGTATTTAGAATAGATAAACCAAGTATCTATTACTTTAGAAGTCATTAAAAACATACAGCTCATTATGTTAAAAGAGAATATGATCTTATACTTAAGTAGGACTCAGTATAGTAAATGGTATGTATGTAATGGCAGAGAGATCTACTAAGAGTTGAACACTAAAGCAGGTTATAATACATATAATACAATCCAATATACATAAATGTGAGCTAGTTTCTGAGATGACTGTATGTTTCAAATATATTTTGTGTAATTATGCAAACACACAAATATAATTAGATTCATCTATGTGTAGATGGCTTTACTGTATATCTAAGTTAAATGTATATATGTAGTTATGTGTTAATTATATTTACATTTAAGATCAATTTTATTTATATAATCAATTTTATATAGTTACATAAAACCTAAAAACACAAATTTACATACTTGTGGATGATTTAACATGAGTTATTAATTAGATATTCATTTTCAGAATCACTTGTACTAGCTGCAACATAGATAACTAATACAGTGTTGTAAAATAACTACCAAAATTCAGATAGTTTTCAGTAGTAAGTAGGTATAGGTATATATAAAACTACTAGAGATTAATTGCCAAAAGTTATACTTTAGAAGTATAATTGACAACAAAAGCTCCACATAAAGTAATATTAATTGAAAAATAAGTAATTATTTTTAATTAAAATAGTTTTTTAAATCTTACTTGAAACAATTCAATCAAAGAATACAATATAAAATTATAAAAGTATATATTTTTGTTACATGCAATATATTCAGACTGTAATGTATACTGTTCTAAGAAAAATTTTAACCAAGACTGTTCTGTGATTGGATCATCTAAGTAGTAAGGCTTCCCATAAGTGAATACATACAAATGCAGATCACAAAAGGCAGTCAGAGACAGAGTGCCCAGCCTCTGATACACATCTGTGATTTGTTTTTCTAGTAGTTATGATCTTGGCCAAAGCGGAGGAAACCCTCAGCTACTTTTTTCAAGAAAAGAATAATTCCAACCCACTGTTCAGGATGTACTATATCGAATAAAAATACACCTATAAAAACAACACAATTCAACCATTTTCCTTATTATGTTTCTTTTTAAATTATTTTTAATAGGGGGAGAATAGTCAAAATTACTATTGTTTTCTTTGTGGGTTTTGGAAACAGTGAGGGGGAGTGGAAGGATGAAAAATGTGTATTCAAGAATAAAAATAATAAAACTAATGCATTTCTTTACTATATATCAAAAAATATCACGAAGAGGGTTTGTGTACTTACAAAAATAAGCCAGTCTTAAGGTTTGTGTATTTACAAAAATAAGCCTGCTTTAAGGGTTGTTTAAAAAATCAGCTTGACTCTTTAAAATTTAGTTTGGATTAAGATTTTATATTATATACTCTTAACATATAAATTCAGCTATCACTATTTTTTACTGATAATCCCATAACCAAATATTCGTAGAAGAGCAACTGCCACATCTAAAAGACAACTATGGTCTCTACGAAAACTGAAATAAACAGATAATTAAAGACTACTAAATCATACCAACATAAGATTCATTCGGCTCCACTCTGTCATTTTTTTTAAAAAACGATTTTTTTCTTCCTAATTCCTTCCTAACTCAAATAAAGCTTTTTCTCTTGCCAGGGCATCCATAACAGTGCTTTGCAGCTATGGATGCTGCAAAAACTGACACTTAAAAATATTCTCCAGAGAAATATTAAAAGTGTCACCTCATCTACCTTGTTGAGGCATAAGAAAAAGCAAACAGACTAGAGGCTACAACCTCACTCTCAATACTACTAAGAACATCATTAACTGGAATTAATAACAAAATCTTATAGGTATAGATATAAGCAGTGTAGACTTAAAGCATTATCTCTTAAGTAGAAAAACTTAAAAATATTAGGCTGTTAAAAAAAAAAAACAAACCTGAATCAATACAGGATGCATTTAAAATCTTTCATTTTGGTCTTCATAGCAGCAAAGCAACTTTTACCAATGTACAAATTATAAACAAAAAGCTTTGAAGGAAATGACAGAACCCTTGCCACTGGCAGTATGTGACCTTTGAAAGGATAAAGGCAGTTCTCTTCATGATCTTAAAAAAAAGCACACCTTTAAAAACTAAAAGGGGAAATAAATTTTTTTTTCATTTTAACAAAAAATATCCATGTAACTTCTTTTACAAATAAGATTTCTGTCCTGCTAATTTTTTTTTAACACATCACATATGAATCTTAAAATTATAACTAAACATTCGGTGTGTGAGAAAGAGAGAGAACGAGTCATTTCTCAACTTGTCTGATATAGAGGCACTATAAGATATCAACATTTCTGTGTCACCTCGTACAGCTTTATATATTAATTCTCTCTCATGGAAAGCTTAAATGCCAGACACATTTTTAAAAAGGACAAACACAATTGATCTTTTCATCACTACAATCTTCTGAAATAGAGTTGATTGATGACTCCAGGGAACAATAAAAAAAAAAGATGTCCTGGTTTTCTCAAATTCTAATGTTTCCCTAGTGATTACTAAATAAATGATTAATATGTTGCACTTAGTTATTCTACTTATTTCTCAAAATTCACAATCTAGAACTAAAATATAAAGACAAAACACCTATGTTTTGTGCCAATAGTAAGTAGTTATAGATCACTAGCCTGTTAAGAATTCTATAAATAGAGGCATAATATTTGCAAATTCTTAAAATAACAGAAGTAAAAAACAATTCAGCCAAAATGAACAAATAAAAAGTATGCATACATGTGTGTCTGTGTTTGGGGGTAAGGGTGGGGTCAGAAATAAGAACTACCAAGGTAATTTATAGTAAAAGTTGAAGACAAAAGACCTTTAGTAGAACTTTACTTGAGATAGTGGAAACTTCCAACTTTTCTATATAGAATGTCACAAAAATGACATTTTGGTACCTAAAGGATGTCGAATCTTATTTGCAATATTTCTTTATTATGAAGTCTATATTTTGATCAAATTTGAACTAAAATAGTGACAAGAAATTACATTTAGGCTTTTGGAAACCTGGTGAATAAATTCTTTGAGGCTTTCCAAAATATATAATGTGTGTATATACATTTTAGAAGCAACTAGCACTTCTTTATACTGAAAACATTCACAGAGGTCATTTACAGAGTATTTCCTGACCACGGTAACAGTTAAACGAAGCACATACCTTAGCCTTCAATTTGAGAGTGATGAAATGCTCTCTACCAGAAGCATCTTCAGCTTTTAACTTGATGGTATTGAAGCACGTATCCACATATACAAGTCTAGTGAGTGGAAGAGAATAAAAAATGGTCACACCGGGGGAGGGCAGGACTGAAGGGGGAGGGTGGTTGGAGGATGGTAGGATTCGAAATGAAAATATTTATTATATTCCTATTAATCCATTACAAAAATTAATCAGAGGGATGTCTGCATGCCAGCCCTTTATGCTGCTATAGATTTACTGCCATTAATACACCAGCCTAGTGCTTAATGCAGTCACAGATCTCTGGATTATTTACAATGTGTGTCAAGGCTCATGCTGTGGTCAGTGAGCACTATGTCTCGGTTTTTCATCACCAGAACCTTTGGCATACACAGCATGTTCCTGTCAGCCTCTACTTATGTACACATTAAACTTCCTGTCAAACTCTTTGATCCATTTCTGTAGTTTCATACAGTATGAGGCTTTTATGCTTCCTTTATGTTTTTCTCCTCAATGAACTTTTCCTTTATTATCAATGTTACTGTACAAAAATCTGGCTGATATTAGTTCATATACTCAAATTGATCCTACAAGGAAAATGCTGTATAAGCACAGGTACAGTCTGGTCTCCTAACAATAAATTTTCTTTTTGTGCGTTACATAGCTCCTGACACTTAACCTGGGCATGTATTCAAGATGACTAATATTTTAAACATATAGCACAAGCACAACTGTTTTAGCTTTAAGTCACTCTAAATGCATGCATTTTCTACAATGGAAACCAATACACTTTGAAATATATCATTCTGTAAAACTATGGTCCCTTGAGTAGCATAAGCAACTGCCAAATATGTTCAAATTTAGTAGTATATTTACTAGTGAACTGGGCGTTGTGGATATTTCTTGACATTTTTACAATAATATTCTCTTGTAAAGATAAAAAGTAGCCTAAGAGTATTGCACGACTTATCACCCAGACTGATGGTAAGACCCATTAGGGTTCAGAACAAACATTAGCCTCCTAACTCAAGGAACATTTCTTTAACATCACTGTATGCGGTTTGGTCACTGGCCAGATATAATGGTAAAATGGGTCAATTTCAAGAAATGCTGGGCTATAAAGTTGTAGAACACTGTTGTAATGAAAAATAGATCTAAATCTGAAGACACACATCCTCAACAATAGACTAAAAGATAAAACCATCTTTATTAATGGAAGAAATTTTTATCATAATCTATAAAAAGTCCAGGGTCTTAGAAAACATATAAAAGTAAAAATATTCTAGAAAAAATGTTTTTTACATAAGAATATGATTTTATATATATGGTTAAACATTAATTTCTTTCAGCTATATCTGTAAACATCACAAATCTCCCTCCCTCTCAAAAAAATTTAGAACATGAGACTATCACATGTTTTATCAATACAACTCTAAGGTTCAGATACATGGGCACCTGACACTGAAAATATCAAAAATCCAATTCGAGATGCTGAGATGAACACATGCATTTATATCCCCTCTCCACTAAAAAAAAAAAAAAAAAAAAATTAAAAGATGTACACAAACCCATAGTTACAAAAAGAACAAGAAGGAATAGCATCGACTAAAGCTAATTTTCAAATTTTATAAAAATGAAAAGTTTAGAAGAGTACTGGCTGACAAAACACATCAAGAGAGAGAAAGAAGGTTCTAGGAGAGAGAGAAAGAGCTGGCAGAAAATGAAGAGGAGGGGAGGGGAGGGAAGGGAAGAGAAGGGGAGGGAAGAAAGGAAGAAAGAAACAAAGAAGAAACAAAGAAAGTATAATAGAGGGTATGACTAATAAATAAGGGGAAATTTTTAAAAATACAAGAAACCAAAAAGGGAAAAGAAAATTTTAAATTATAAACAATGAAGCTATGTTAAAAATTGTGATTGCTCTACCATTAACTTTTCAGTGAAAAATATTTATGTAGTCATAAAAAAATCAAACTGCTTACTAGTTATAATTTTTAAAGTCCAGCAACAGATAAAGCTAAAAGCTTTACAGAAACTAATGTAAATATATTTGACAATTGCAATTTGAAAGAAAGAGATGACAAAGTTGAGATGAAGGGGAAAGGTATGAGGGAAAATTAGGAACGCTAAAATCTGTAACCGCTAATTTGAGAGTAAGAGATACACATCTTTAATTGAAAGGACATGAAAGACGTTTAAGACATGTTAATCCTAATAGAAAAATAAAAGAATAGTAAAGGGAGAGAGATGGTAGTATAGGAGCTAAATCCTCTTATTATAGTAGTTAATCAGTATGTAATTCCTAAAACTGATAAATCAAGCAACACTGAATGTAGGCATATTATTTCGAAATATGGAAGTTGTAAACATGAACAGTTCAGTATTTCTCTCAAAGAATGAAAATGGAAATGATGTGGGAAAAGCCTGCTCCTTTTCACAATGAGCCCTAAATAGTTATAACCATGAATATTACACAGAGCAAGAAGCGGTGGAGAGATGGAACAACTAATCCCCAAATAGTACTTTTCATACTTCACGTTGCTGCTCATCAAAATGTTCAAAATCATTACTGAACATCTATAAAATAAGACAAAAGTTCTAGTCTTTTGTTTCTAATCACACAAACAAAAGATTATTATCTTTCCACAATTTAAGACATGGAAGTAATATATTAGAGAAAGTGACATGCTCAAAATATGGCTTTGCAGTCAAAATGGTAAGATTAATTTTGTTAAAACTTTAAGAAGTCATTCAAACAAAATAGTAAAAAGATTTATAATTTCAGGTTAATCTTAGCCTAGTCATTTAAAATTAAACATTTTACCCATATGGCTTTCTGTCTACTCTGTTTTGGGGAAAGGGAAAAATCTTGTGATTATTACTACCTTGAGTACATGTGACCTACATTGCCACCAGAGATCCAGTATTTCTTCTTCCTGTCTTCCTTTTGGTAATAGGGCCCCTGCCTCCACAGCACATTTACTATACCAAGTTTCAGCAGGGCACACTCCATCTGGCTACCAACTCTTCCTAGCTGCTCTTGGATATCAGCATCTCACTAAATTTTGGTCAATAGTCTGCAAACAGAAGTGATATGTGCATCTTCTGGAATAGTGAGAGCAAAACTGTACCTTCCCCTCTCCACCACCCACCTCTCTCTCCCTTCCTGTAGACTAGATCAGAGACAGGCCAATATAAGCCGGCAAAGACCATGCAGAAGAGAATGCAGCTCTGGCCACTGAAACCTTTCGATAATGGAGGTATTCTACATCCACACTGTCTAAAACAGTAGCCACTAGCCACATGAGGCTATGGAAGACTTAAAATGTAGCTAGTATCAACACTGAATTTTTAATTTAATTTAAATATAAATGCCAATAGTGACATGTGGCTAGAAGCTACTATTCTGAACAATGCAGCCACAGTGGATGGTTGAGAAATAAAAGAAACCTGGGTTCCTGGTAGAACAGAGCTACCAACTTACTCCTGACCATCTGCCTACCTCTGAACATCTAATGAAAGGTAAATAAAATTCTATCTTGTTTCTAACATTGAGGATTTGGGGTTCTCTTTGTTAACAGCTGTTTAGCCTGTACCCTAACTAACAGGACACACTTCTATCTATTCACAATAGGAAAGACTATCTTAGTGTTCAGTCTACGGAGCGGATATTGAAGGGGGACAAAACAGTAATAAGCTCTTACAAGTAATATAAAAATCAGTTTTTCATTAAAAAAGTCTATTACAAATGTTCTGCTTTACTGTTAAGTTGGGTATCTTGATTTAGAGAATATGAAATAAATAATTTTTACTCATTTAAATAAGATAAATAATTCATTTAAATAATTTAGAAAACTTTCATCATCAGAAAGCTCAAGTTTTTTAAAAGTTATGAAATCACATTTAAAATTTATATTTAGAAGGAGTTTGAATGTTATTACTTAGCTAAAGTTGACTAAAAAACACAAATATAAAATCTGAAGAAATAAAATACACTTTTAACACTTTGTATTTATCGTTTGCTGCATTTCTTTATAATTCTGCTTGGAATAACTAAAATGACACTAAACTTGACAGTTAAGTTTTTTAAACATTTAAAAAAGATATTTATACTTAAGCTTCAGGGAGGTTTTTGTTATTCTTGTTACTAGCTAAATGTTATCAGTATAGAGCAGAAGGCATGAGCTTTATATCTCTTGAAATATTGAACTTATTTAGACCAACAGCTTAAGTTATATAGTTTCTTTTCTTTAAATATTTAGATATTATTTATGGAGTAATAACATCAAAAGGCAGCCTGGAGACCTTCATGGTTTAATAAAGGTTCACTTTCTACTTTTACCACTATTCTCATGTTTAAGCATTAATACTTCAAACGTAGATTTCGAAAAAAAAATCCTCCCTAATTGCTGTCTTTACTTCCTGTCTCTTCTCTACACCATCTACCCTGCCTCCCATGACTAGATTAATCTTCCTAAGCACCTTTTTAATCATAGCAACTCCATGCTCAAAAATACTCGATGAGTCCCTATTATCTGTGTATAAAGAATCCTTAAGTCTAGGAGTCGAGATGCTTCAGTCTGGCCCTGAAATTAATCCTCTTATGTGAGCAAATGATCTACTCCAAAGTCCAAAAATGAACTGCTCACTTCCACCACTACCACCTTGTCTCCACCAATCCTTCCCTTCTAAGGCTTTCTACATTCCTTCTAAGCTTATCCCATTACCTCCCCTAAGAACCTTCCTAAGTTATAGAGCCCAAAAGGACCTCACCTTTCTTGAAATGCTCACCCTGCTCCTTTTCAAGTAAGTTTTTGCTTTTTTATAAGGAATATAAAAGCTTTATACTTCTATGTATGTGCCAGTGCTCTATGTATTAAGCTATTGTCGGACTGGTTCATAATTACTGCTTCACATATAAGTTTTAAACAACTAAGAGTAAATTCTGTTTAAATTAGATACTACCGACACATTACCAATTTAGAAAAACATAATATTTTCACTAGACAATTTGCAGGTATTCAGTGATTTGGATATATGTTTGAGGAAAAAACACTATAAAGGTAATTTAGAATGAAAATCATATTAACAACTATATTCTTTTGACTTACGTAACAAAAGTTATTACTGGTTATAACTAAATCATAACACTAATTAAGTGCTTAAAACTCATATACAGTCTGACACATTTGTGTGAACTAGTGTCTCAACAACTTTATACATACTTTACACAGGAAATTATTTAAGTCAAGTAACATATGCTTCTTTCCAATGCTTATTAAGCATTATTCATTTGAAAAATGAAGAAAGTGTGGCTCAGGGAGGTTACAATACTTGCCCAAGGTCACACAGTTGATAAGCCAGAATTAAAGCCCTTGTCTAGTTATTGAAATTAATTTAATATAAACAAGTATCTCCATTTCTTCCAGTGTTACCTAACTCTTTGAAATGCACTAAGAATTACAGAAAATATCACCATCACTGGCCTAAGTCCATTACTAAAATAAGAGGATCACTCTAACTCAATATATGTTGATATATGTTGACAATCTCTCAGCAGCACAACAAATTTTATAAAACTCGTTTAGCTCTTTCCCAAGACAAATTTGAAAGGTCAAATAGCTAAATTCTACTCACTCTAAAATGGACAAAACCATCAGATCACTTCCCCCTTGTTAGAACTATTTAATCTCTGAATTATCTAGGGCCATGTGATTATTAAAACATAAGATATCCTATAAATAAGGTGACTGTGAATTCCTTCTAAACTGGAACACTTCTGAAACTGAAAGGGGCCAAGATAACAGGTATAAATTATGACTATCCTAGGTAAAGTGGGATGTAGATCAGCTCACCTATAGAGCAAAAGTATTTACTACTTTTAACTCCAAGACATTCTTAATACCAAACAGAAAATTCTGTTAAACCCCAAGGACTCTGTTTAATTCTTATTGTTTTAAATGAGGCATTCGGTAAAACAAAACAAGAAGTTAACAGAAATCAATCAAGACATCTTTTTGCGACCTTTGTAAGTCAGTAAAACACCCAAAGTTATCCTCGATTGTCATACCATCTTCATCTGACCCTTTGGACAACTTTAAAGAAGCTGAAACAAGTACAGAAGTTACAATAACAGCAATTAAATTTAAGACAGCTACTAATTCAGTGTCATTTCTATTTTTAAAAGTTATGTGAATAAAGGGAAAGAAGGAAAGTATTCAATCATATTTTCGGTATTTTTTTCTAACTTAATTTTTATAATGCCTGATCCTATAGTGTTGATTAGAAAAGTATGTAATTTAAAAACACAGCAAGATCTTCATTACCTTAAAATAAGATTTTTCTTTTATTATCAGAGTTTACTATTACACTAACAAATCTACAAATTATAGAGTGTAAGAAAAATATAGATATAGCAACACGGTCTAGGAATCATTAAGATTCTGAAAATCCATTTAAATCAATTTGTCATGCAAATCATTATGTGTGTCATGTTAAATGATATTTCAAATTAAGAAGCTAGTCGGCTGCTTAGGCAGGGCCTCAAAAAGTAGCAATTTTAGTTTGGAGACGGCACAGTTCATGTCTCAGTTCTAGCTGAGTGCCCTGAAATCTACTATTGTCAATGTGTCAAGCATACCAGACCTGATTTAGGAATTAAGTCACAAAAACTGCACTTGATGGGAGATTGTCTTACTCCACTAGATAGTGTTGGATAAATACTGACATACCTTATCTGGCTTCTCATAATCCATGTGGAAAACTTTTCTTCTGCTAACATATTCCTTATTTGTAAAGATTATGAAACAAATGATTAGGTAACAACAGTTATATCCTAATTCGATCATGCATCCTACTCACTATATCACCTTTCACAAATCTTTCGCAAAAAATTTTGAAACTCTCTAAAGATGGGTTAATTTTGCATATAGCCAATTTTATCCATGGTGAGATAGTCACACATAGAGGGTGGAAATAATAAAAACTATTTGCAAGTACTTGAGAGAACTTTATTAAAGGCTCCATAGCAGAGCTGCCCCACAGCACAACTCCAGGGAGCATCATTCAGACACAAAGCCTGAGCACTGGTATGCAGCCAGCCCCGGATATATAAATTCATTTTATATACAAAGTTGGGAATAAAAATATGTATCAAGAATTAAGTAAGAATTATATAAAGTGACTAGCACAGTAAGTGGCATACAACAGAAACTTCATAAATGAAAGTTTCTATGTATAATGATCCTAGTCTATGGGAGAGACAAACATTTATATTGTAATGAAGGTTATAGTGGAGGTACTCATATCCTTACTTTTGGCTTTCATCTGTTACCCAAGTTTGAGATCTGGTCCTTTTTCTGTCACATCACAACAATATGTATAATACAAAGCAAAAACTACTTTCTACTTATCTCTAAAACTGTTTATTCCATAAAATATTTTATACACTTGCACCATTTCTCTTATAACTTCGTTGCTCTCAAGAAATCCTATTATTATACTACACAGTACCTATCACAGTTAGAATTACTACTGTGATCATCTAAATTCTGACTCTTTCACTAGATATAAGTTCCATGAGGAAGACTGTCTTGCCTATGTATCTTCACTGCCCTACATTATAGACATTTGACAAATAACAGTTACGTGGAAAAAATGAATGATTAAAAATCTCATATTTGCATTCTCAGTATTTCAACTAATTTTCATCGCTGGAATTCTCCCAAACATGTCACATACACTTATAAAACTGTCTCAAACTCACTATATCAATATAATAGGATAGAAACTAGAACATTTCCTCTTCCTTTCCCAAATACCTCCTGCAATTCTTAACTATTCTAAATGCTAAGATCTTAACATTTAAGATGTAAAAATAAGTCACATGATTTTTCTCTATCAACATATGCAAATGACAGGGTCCATGATATCAATATTTCAAGACTAACTTCATAACTTCAACCAAATTCCTAATAGTGCATGTCAATTCATTACTTGTGTTCTCTGTCTCTTCCCTCCATTGTCATACTACAGTTTATTACATCTTACTCAGGAAATGACACTTGATCAAATAAAGCCTAATCTCATAAATAAACATTAACCAGTCCTCGATATCACCATAATAGTACATTTAAAATTATAGGTAACATCCATTTCTAAGATGGACCAACACTTCCACTGAGAACAAGTAGAATAATCTGATGAAAAGGAAAAGAAAAAAAAAGTTTGAAGGCATCAAAGAATTGCTAAGGTAACCAGGATTTGAAGGACTAAGGTCCTGAAGAAGCGGGCACAGAGGAGAGGTAGGTCACCAGTTTGTAGCTATTTTTCTCTTAGCTTATATACCAATTCTGGGCACAGCGCAAAAAAAGAAGGATATGGGCAAAAGGCCCAGACAGAGAACTACTATCAAGTGAGGAGAAGGGGAAAAAGCATTTTGGCGATCTTTTGAGGATAGAAAAATGAAAATAACAGCTTTTAAGGGCCAGAGTCTGATGGAACAATATGGCCAGAGACAGCCTAAATTTTGACAATTTTCCATCAAAACTTTTGATAAATACCATAACTGCATAAAAGGATAAAAAGCCAAGTAGAAAGCCAATGAAAAAAGAGAGAATATGTAGAAATCTCATAATTAGAATTTAGAATTCACCTGTGAGAGAAAAAGTCCCAGTGAAAATACCCAAGCTCTCAGTGTAAACCTCTGAAAAGGTTAACCCAAAAAGAGCAAAGCGAACAAGAGGTAGATGGAGCATTGTGAAAAGGATCAAAAGTTATTAAGTAATGGGAATATAATGAATGACATGGTGACAATAGTTAATACTATATTGTATATTTAGAAGCTGCTAAGACAGTAAATCTTAAAAGTTATCATCACACACACAAAAAAATGTGTAACCATGTGTGGTGATGAATGTTAACCAGACTTACTGTGGTGACGATCATTCTATAATATATATGTATACTGAATCATTATATTGCATACATGACACTAATATAATGTTATATGTCAATTATATCTCAATAAAAAATATTAAGAAGAATACTTTAGGCAGGAGGAAAATGATTCTAGAGATAAAAAGGAAGGAATGAAGAATACTACATAGTAATTTTGTGTGTATATGAGAGAGACTAACAGCAATGATAAAAACATATTAAAAAGATGGTAGATATAAAACTAAATATACTGGTGATGTCAGTGAAAATGGCATTCAGAAGTTCCAGAAATTGTTCCCTCCATAACAGCAACAAGAAAAATGACCAGAAAACATGTCAGGAAAAAAAAAGGCAAATACGTAAGGTGATGGATATGTTAATTAACACAATTGTGGGAATCCTTTCACAATATATATGTATATCAAGTCATCGAATGTACACTTTCAATATATAATTTTGTCAATTTTACCTCAATAAAACTAAAAAACAAAAAAGAAATTAAAATAATGTTATGCTCAGTGAAAATATGGTAACATTTTATTGTGTACATTAAAATGTTATTTTTTCCAAATTACATTTAGTATTTTACCTTGTAGGTCAATTTTTTAGGATGATATCCCTTTCATAGTCACATAAGGATTAGATATTCTAATTACGATGAAACACTGCCTAAAAACAGGTATAAAATAAATTGATAGAACTACAAATACATTAAATTTAAATTTGTAAAAAAAGGTATTTCTAAAACATTTAAAAATAGACATACTTATCCCAACCAAGGGTTCCTATTTCTTCAATAAGGCTTGAATAGAACTGGGGAGGAGGAGGTGGTACATGTAGCTCTTGTTTATTCTTTAAAGCAACTTCCTGTTTAAAAGGAAAACCTTAAATCAGCTGTGGAATGCTAGACAATGAATTGTACCTGATTATACAAAACAATTTTATAATTTTCTTCATGCCTAACTTAAGTGTCTCTTTTTTAAAAACAGAAAATTCAGCTAAATCATTCCCCCATCATTAAAAAAAAGGCTTGAAAAAGTTAAAGGACTGCACCGAAGGTCATGTAAAAATGTCAATTATTATACCATTCAACCTTAAGACTTTAATATTCTCCTAGACTATTATGCCTATCAAAGATGAAAAAAGTTTAAAAAAAAAAAATACTCATCCCCAAGAGTTCACTATCTTTCTACCTCTATAGACATGTTTAACAGAAAGAAACAGATATCTTTAAAGAAAAGCCTGAAATCTAAGCACATAGTCTAGACTGATATATTTGTATACTGTTATGAATCATATCTTTACAAACAAAAACCCTCTGTAATAAATACTTACCTGCTAATTTCTTTCTTCATTCTGTATACCTCCCAGACCAGGTAAGTCCAAGTGTTCTGCCATCTGGCTAGACCACAGTTCCTTTCCCCACTAGGCCAACCTTTGATATCTTTAAGGTGGTTTATGTTCCCCCAAGCAAAACTAAAATTTACATTGTTTTAGAGGCAATACAAACATCACTAGGATTGCTGAGGCTGAAAATACCAATTACTTCAAAGGTGGTAACCTAGACAGATATCATATCTGTAAAGTAAAAACAAATGTATCTATAAATTACATAGGTGTTCATATGGTCTGGTTTATCAAAAGGTACTCTAAAAATTTTTTTTTTTAAAAATCAGATGATCATAAATAACAAAACCATATGGGAACAAGTATAAAAATTATAAATGTTTCTGGTAAATGTAACCCTAATAAAAAGTATAAATTTTAATCTTTTAAGTGTAAGTTTAATCCATTAGTCCTTATACTTTTTAACAAGGATAGAATACTATTAAAATAAGGTAATACCAGAAAAAGGTTTTACAAAACAGTATTTCAAAATCAAGACTACTAACTGAAAGTACTTTAATATAGTTCTAAAACTGCTTTCCATAAAAAAATTAGAATTAAAAAAAACCTGTGAAAGCAGGTTTGCAAAGCCCAAAATGTCAATTTGGATTTCATTAGAAGGTAAGCTACTAGAACGCAACGAGAATATCACTTTTTTTTACAAATTAAATACCTAATATTATCTGTAAATAGCCTAATAGTCCAACCTTAAAAATAAATTAGTATTATAATTATCCTGTTGCCTAAAAAAAAAGTCAGTATAGCTCCCATACTTATAATAGCTATACAGTATTTCTTTGAAATTTCTATTATATTCAGAAATATGAGTTACTGTTATCCACAAATATTGAAGGTAAAAAGTAACTTGGATAATAAAAATGTATGTTAATCTTAAGTTTATGACATTTGTAAACTCTGCCTTCTACCTTGGGTCAGACAAATTACTCCTGGTCTAGAATCATAACAGGAAAAAGGGAAAGGCAGAGAAGCAAAGTATTCTTCATGGAGAAAGAGGCAAAGGTACGCAGTAGAAAGAACACAGGCTTCACAGAAGTTTTAAATCTTAACTTGACCATTTCCTAGTTTTGAGGCTGCAGGTACTCAGTGACTCTGCTCTAAAAGTATAATAAAATAACCTATACCTCATACAGTTTTTTAAACATATAAGTAATTGTTCATTTGTTAAATATAGAATGAAATTCTACTACATGCTTAGTTATTACTAGGAAACTCCATGAGAGATTTACCAAGTTTCCTGAATAAATTTTGTAACTACTGATTTCACTTGGGCATTAATACTTTTATCATTGTTATAGGAACCCTATTACTGACAACACATTCCAATAAATAAGCTAATAATTCTTACATTTTTAGGTACATTGTCATAAATGTACAATAACATCACTGTTCATAATTTCTTTAGAAAGCTAAAATATAAGATCTCGTTTTATTCAGAAATGCAGTAACAAATGTACTAAATAAAATACTGTGACTGAAAGATTAATCTCAATATTTCATTTGTTTTAAATTAATGATTGTTTTTTCAAAATTAAATGACCGACTGACCAGAAATGATTATGTTAATACTAGAAATCAAGGTTTTTCAGAATAATAGAAAAAAGATATAAACACAAAATTAAATAGTAAAACACTACAATGCCAAATTTGAATTGAAAATATCTATATGAACTCATGATTAACGATTCTCTTTCTAGAAACATTTTTCCCTAGCTTTGTCCACCAAAAAAGATCTAGAAGTAATCACAAAAAGCACTCCGGTTTCCAGATTGTGGTAGCATCTAAATACCATTTCCTACAAAGAAACCATGGCTCTTTGGAGAAATAACTGATTACTGTTCTGGAATAGGATGAGAAAATCAACATGGAGCAACTGGCAGAAGAAAGCAAAGCGTGGGTTGTGTCAAAAGAAATCAGAAGCCAGCATGAAGGGGCTTATGCTGACCAAAATTGGTACAATTTAAGCATCAAAAAGAATAATGATTCCAATGGATTAAAGTTAACCAAATCTACAAAAACTCAGAAGTTCATAATGATACAAGAAAAAGTCATAATTAGTTTCTAGGCATCAACTTAGTATTCTATAAAAAAAAAATTTAAAGGCAAAGAAAAAAGCACTTATCCCATCTCTCAAATTAACCAAGTACCTAATGAGAAGTTATGAGCTATACCTCAAATTAACCAAGTAACTAATGAGAAGTTCTTCTCCATAGATTTTCAGCTAATAAATATCGATAGAATTTGAAAAATCACCATTTGTAACCCCTAATGTAGGCAGTGACCATCATTAGATGATAAGCTGACAGGAAACTTTATATTGGATCTAAATCCATCGATCAATCTTAACTTTACTAAAAGAGGAACTATCAGATACCATGTGCCTCCTAATGCAATACAAGGAGTACAGAACAAATGAACTCAACTCTGTTGAGACCTCTAGATCTAACTGCCAGATTACAAAAAATAAGTAGACTGTGTTAAAAGATACCATGACTATCTAATAAACCAAATCCAGAATATGGGAAATTTTATAGGACACATAATTTGGTTTATTCAATAAGTAGATGGCATGATAAAAAAAAAAGAGGGGTGGGAGTAGGAGGAAGTGCTACTATAAATTAAGAGACTTAGACATATCACTAAATATAATGTGTGAACCTTGTTTGCATGGTGACACAAACAGAACAGCTATAAGGAACCATCACTAATTTTGTTGGGATTATAACAGCATAAAGACAAAAAACACCTAGCTGTTAAAGATATATAGTTACACATTTATGAAAGAATGTACACAATGTCCAGGTTTTTCTCTAAAATGCTCCAGTCTCTCTCTCCTAAAAGAGTAGGGGAAGAAATATGATTGGCAAAATGTTGAAATTAGGTCATGGCCCCATGGGTATTCACTACAGTCTTCCCCCTTCTGTACATTGAAAACTGGAATAAAAAGTTTTAAAAAATAATACAATAGCTGTAGGACAATCAAGTATTTTATGCATAATGGACTAACTGAATAATCAATTACTATATGTAACTGTATGTATGTAATGAAAGCTAGTTTTTCAGAAATCTGCATCTTTATATAATTTTGTTTTTACACATTGTATTATAGCTAATCTCTCCATAGATGTTAAATTCTCTGAAAGACCAGGACTACATTTTATTTCTTTACTACTCACCCAAGACTAGTTTCAAATGTACCCAGTTTATGACATAATCGAATTGGTTCTTACACACAGTTTTATTCCTCATGCAGTTCAATAAAAGTACCATTCACATTTATGTACACAGTAAAATAGGATATTAAATGTCTGGGAGTTGAGAAGCTTTAAATTCTAATCATTAGCTTTTAAAGGAATTACAAAAACAATCAAGACTTATAGAATACAGTAACAGTGTTAAAAAACAAGTACTTACCAAAACCATCTTCAACTCCATCATAAAGCTCATCAGATCAGGAGAGTGCTGCATTCTCTAGATCAAAACAACATTTCCAATTAATTTTACTTGTACAATTATATTCCATGTGCTGAAATCAAAATAAAATACAGGTCCATGTGAATGTGAAAAAAACATTAGCTCTATCTACATCATAAAAGTATAAGAATTGGAGTACTGATCATCCCTACTACTACCAATTTCATTTTGAAAAGACTATAATCTACTCTGGTGAGATATACTGAGTTATGTAAGAATGTCATTTTAAACCTTACACACTCCTGTTCCTTCAGCACTGACTAGTGTCAAATTTAGCAAATCACATCATTTTTTTTTAAGTGATATGGGAGTAAAGATAGTGAAAGTAGCAGAAAATATAAAAATCAGGCAAATATATACAATTAAAAAATCTAGTTAGAGCAAAGAATTATTAATCAATACTGTCTATTTTAATTTTTTTCCTTGACCTTAAAGACTACCTATAATTATTATCTTTTCACAATAAGTCCATAATAATTCAAAAGGAGTTAATCTTTCAATAAGGTAAAACCATTATAAATAAATGGCAAAAAAATTCTAAAGTAGAATGAATATTTAATTATGCTTCTGTTTCCTAGAAATCCTTCATTCTTAAAGTAACTATAGAATAAAACAAAGCAAAGCAAATTCTGTTGAAATTACTTTGTCAAATAAAACTATCATTTCTCTGCTTGAAGTCAAAATACTGTATTTTTGTTACTTTTTGTGATGCGCTGAACTAATCACACAGTTCTGAACAAAGTCAACATGTAAATTTGTTCACTTTCTCTATATAAAAAGGATAATAATCTAAGATATTTCAATAATGCATGAATCATATGACTCATATCTTAACACAGCTTTGAGTGGACACATGTTTGTAGAACATATCTTTGACTTTCCTTTCTTCTATACAATATTTCCTCCCTTTGGTTTATTAGAGATGAGTAATAAATTATATCAAAGGTCTACGACTAGAGCCCAGAGGCTAAATACAGCCAATGCCTGCTTTTGTAAATAAAGTTGTACTGAAATGTAGGTACACCATTCCTTCACCTCGTCATGGCTACATTGGTGCTACAAGGGCAGAGTTAAGTAGCTGCAACAGAGATCTTACGGCCGATAAAGGCTGAAAAATTTACTATCTGGCTTTACACAGAAAAAGAATGCTGACACCCCCCCACACCCGACTCATATTTACTAGTTAAAAAATGATACAAGGAAAGAATAATATTCACATGGACTTTGGAATAAAACGAATGCTCAAACTAATAGTGGGTTCTATAAGACCAACTGGAGGGCAGAGAGGAAATTAAGTGGTAATTGAGACCTTTCCTAGGAACCCTCTTTGTGAATTGGCTGAGGAAAACAGAGATCTTATTGTATGCTTAGTTTTTATTAACAAGTTTTTTCAGGCCACTTAAATATCTCAGTGGATTCATTTCTCAAACTTTAGTATACATCATAGTCACAGGGGATGAGGAGGGGGCAGTGGAAGAAAAAGAAATAATTTACACATTCCCTCAAAAAACTGCTGTAATTATACTGCCAGCAATGACAGTCTACGTTCTACAAATCAACTAGTTTATCTCCTATTATTTCTTTGTGGTTCAGTAATGCTTTATTTGCGAGTGACTATCATTGTCACTTATCATACATAATAACCAGCCTTTAAGATAGAGAAAATATAACAAATTGGGAAAAACATACAAATGAAATCCAGTTCTATTTACATTTGTTTTTCTGTAAGAGGCATTTCATTATTTTCAACTGGTTCAGTAAATGAGTTTTTTGAGTGTCTCTAATCTTTAAAGGAATTCTCATTTAGAGGAACCTAAACATTAAGAATAAACTGGGGTTCGAGGGTGGGCAAAATGGGTGAAGGTGGTTAAAGGCACAAACTTCCAGTTATAAAACAAAAAAGAATAAATTAATCCTGCCTATACTTCACCTATGCTGCCTTTACATCTAGTCCTATGATATATATATATATACTTGATCCCAAGTGATAGCCACCACACCTTTCGTTACTAATCTAGAACTACAACACCTTTCTCGCCACAGGTATCTTAAAACTCCTAAATGGATGCTGGTATTTTTTTCATACCATCACTGTTCAGTCTCAGCAGAAAAATCACTTAAAAAATGATGGTTATGGATAAGGGTGCATGCATCTGATGACCCGAAAATATCAAGGATGGAAATCAGTTTCAACACAAATGCTGCTTGAAGATGTGCTAAGGATTCTGAGACAGAAAACATTATAATGTATGGATCCGAAAAATATCTAATAGAGATAAAACCTATAAAATTCAGCAACTACTAAAATAGTTTGTTAAAACATACTGCAAAGCAGGTCATTAAAAAAGAGTAAATTTAGTAATTTTTTATCCTTGCTTAAAACATAAACCTTTTTTTCCCCCCTCAAGTGACTTTTTCTTTTTTTTTTTTTTTTTTTACACTTTAACAGTAAGGCATAACATAAAACATAAACCTTTTAGAGAACTTACCTGTTGTATTATTTGATGGTAGCCATTAAGTATTGTTCTCAGCTGCCAACTACACAGTAATCTAAAATTTTAATGGAATAATTTGTTCATTGTTCAGAATTAAAAGAGAAAAAAACATGTATGCTAACACAAACATGCATGTACATAGGAAAGAATGACAAACATAATTCTAACAAGTTAATAAAATTTACCACTGATAGAGTTGAAAGTCTTGACTTTGAACTGTCAGTATGAATTTTATTTCAAAGTATAAATAACTGCAATCAGTAAATATGCAAACAATATATCTTTTTTAAATTTTAATGTACCCAAAGTTTTATACTTAACTAGATTCTTCTCCAAGTTAAAGAAAACCAACAGTTTAGATTATAATATACAGAACCTGTATTTGAGAAAGCATATGTAGTAATATAATCTTCAAATTCCAGAGTAATGTAACTAAAAGGATACATACTTTAAATTGTGTGAGTATCAATAAGTTAATGTTCATCTATCTACTGGCTCACCTCAGCCAGTGCACTCAATACTGCTTGGTAAGTAACTCTTCTAGGAATTGCTTTAACTTACCTAGAAGTAGGAGGCCTATCTCTGAGTTTCTCCAAACTTGGCCTTTTCGAACGATCATGATTCCCTCTATTCTTGGTCTGCTAACCCCCATTATCACCACTAACTCCTCTCTTAGCAGCAGAGTAACTCATTCAACAGTCCACGGGAAATCCCTGTCGAAATGTACTTTCCATCATCCCTTGCTACCAACTCAGTTACATCAATTTAATCATTAACTTACTTGCTGCTAGTTTTTCTCTTTAATATATTAACTTGCTCAAGCAAATCTCATATTTAAAAAACAACATTATTATAACTCTTCTTTGACTGCACACCCTTCTCTAGCCATTCCTTTTCCTCAAAGTAGTTTATACTGTTTATATTTCCTTTCTACCCACTTTAAACCCAACACAACCTGGCTTCTGCCACTATATGAAACCTAATCATATCTAACATGATCCCTTTGCAAAACTCAGTACTGTTAACCATTCCTTCCTTAAGTCTCTATTTGGCTTCAGAGAAAACTGTCCAGATTTTCCACTTCTCTTGTCAATGGTTAGACTTCTTCAGAGGTCCTTTTTATTTACCAGTTCTTTAAATGTTGGTACGCCCAAGATTCTGTCACTGGCTTTTACTTTTTCACCCTACACAGGCAGGCACTGGAAAGTCTATTCATATTCATAGGCCCAAATCTCATATCTACTGTGACTTCCACATACATCTCCATTCTAAGTCTCACAATCGAATGCCACAACAATACACTACTACCTTTTAAATAATTCCTCTTGCTATTTCACATCTGATGTGCCTTAAAACAATTTCTCTTCTATTTCTCCATCAGTAACCTCTTCTCTAGCTTAGTGATCTGAGCCAGGAACTTGGAAAGCATTGTCCCCTCCCCTTCCCTCTTATCTCTAACTTCTCATCAGTCACAGAATCCTGTCAATTCTACTTATGTCTCTGGATTCTTCCACTCTTCTACCCCTACAGATATTTAGGAGCAGAAATGAGCTTTGTGGTGCTACCTAAATTGCCAGTCTCGTCTCTTGATATTCCCCAATGGGCTGTCTATACCAACAGCCCATACTTATACCTAACTTATGCCAGGACTGAATTTATAAGTCTTGCCACAGACTGAATATACACATAATTAACATCAGTCAAAAGTTGAAAACAAAGTCTTCTAATTCTTTTGTATTCTCCTTTTATACTTCAGTTCAGCACTTGTTAGTGAAGTTTACAATATTGCTATTTACTGCTTTAAATAAAAAAAAAAAATCAGAGAATTAATGTGTCATCTTTGAAAAGCACTTCAGTACTGGGAAAATAATTTACAAATGCACAGACTTAATAAAACCAGAAATGTTTCTGGTAAACTAATAAGCATTTTAGGCAAAACTCTAATGACTAGAATCAGTTTATACCAGATTAACTGATTGCCTATCCCACAAAGATGCATGTATATAACATCACCTTGCATTCTTCAGTTGTAAATCTTCAGGCAACAATATTCTAAGGTGGAAATCTCTCCCCTGTGGAAAATATTGAAAAGGTTCAAATTTTCATTATTCACTTAATGTTATGAGTTCACTTAGTGTTAATAATCAAATAGAAAAGGCAATGTTTCCTTTACTTCATAAAAGGTATCAACTTTATCCAAATCTTTATACTTGTTAAAATATAAGCAACAGAATATTGCATTTGAGAGAAAATAACTGTCAAAAAATTTGTAATTACTGGGAAATCAATGCATTAATAAAGGACTTTGTTTTAAAGAGAAAGTCATTCATAAAAACACAACTAAAAAATTGTTAATGTAGACATAAAGAAATTTAAAATGCTATTTCTTGGGAAATAAATTTATGGGGAAAAATTCCTTCCAATTGATTTGAATATGAAAGGAAAATAATCATAATGTAAAAAAAGAATATATAACACATTACTGGCTTCATATTTTCAATTTCCTAAATTTTAAAATGAAAATATATTTAAAAAATCTAAATATGAGAAATATTTTCCTAAATCAGAATATATTTAATTTTCTCCAACTCAAAGACCTTTTAAAAATATAATTGCCAACACATTACTTCTTTTAAATATTCACTAGCTATATATTTAAATATACCAAATTTTACTTAAGAATCTTTCTACGGAACTAAGGACTGTTCTCAGAAATATATTGTTTTACTTTCCCAAGAAAGTGAATGAGTAAGTAGCTTAAACTTTGTACCTTAAATAGAATACACATGAAATCTGAGCAAAGGTAAGCAGAAAAAGACAAACAGAAATATAATCTTTTACTCCAACAGTATAAAATGAAAAAGAGTAATAAAATTCTCGAAAAACAATTACCATGAGAATTTTAGCACGGTCTCCCTCAAAGCAGTTTCAGAAATAGAGGAACACAATTAAATGTACCCCATAACCTTTACTTTCATGGTAATATTACAGTTCTGACTTTCATTACATTCAAATGTCCTTTAAAAAAATGAAACAAAATGTACTACTGACCTTTTCAAAAGGTCAAGTAACAATAATTCACTATTTCATTAAAGCACTAAAAGGTATTATGTAGTAACTTTAACCTAACTTTATAGACATCCCCCACATAGGTGTAAGAACAATCTGGAATTCAAAATTTACATGAAAAATAGTAAAACCACTCTACCGATCTGTTATTTGAAAGAATCAAATTCCAAAGTCCCTTATTTGCAAAATCCAGCCATTTTAAAAGGTCAAATGCCATATCACATGCCATCATACTTTTCTGATTCAAGAAAATATCCAAATTAGCTTTTTTAGTTAATTGCTCCAAAGAATATTTCCCAGGCTTACAGGGAACAAAAGTACTGACAGTTGCCTAAATGTGAATCTCTCCACACATCCTCCCCAAAAAACTATATAGATCAATATTACGAACAAATAAAAGCATAAAAATCCCATGTCTTCAGCAAAATCAGAAGATTGCCAAAAACGGTAAATATACAGGTAAAAACAGAAAAGACTTTTCTTATTTTTAAAAACCTCTTTAAAAGATAACTGTGCCCAAACTGGAACAATGTCAGCAACAAATAAAGTAGTAAAGAATTATAAAGTAAAGTATAAATTTTCATGAGTCCATACTGTTATAAATAACTAAATTAACAAATGGAGAGTTAAGATAATCTCTCATACAGAGAATTCCATTCTACATAAATTATATAGTTACTTTGCCTTAAAGGAGAGGGAACATAACTCTTCATTCTTTGTTGGGGAATGATGATCATGGTGACTTCCTTCTAAAGAGTACAGTATGGAAAGTGGAGAAAAAATAACTTTATGGTAAAGAAACCTGACAAATGCTGCTTCAGCCAAGTGATCCAGGTCAACATCAATAGTCATACATCATATTGATAGTATGTACACTTGATGAGATGAAATGGTACTAAAATTCTGATATTCTTCTCAAAAACCCATAATCTCAGTATAATCATGAGAAATTCTAGTAGAGTATCCCATTATACTGGACTAGTACTTCTCAATAACGATGGTCATTTCATAATCATAAAGGGTCAATGTAATCAAAAACGAGGAAAGTATAAGAAACCATCACAGGCAAGAGAAGCCTAGAAAGACATGATAATGCATGATAATCTTGGATGAGATCATGGAACAGATTAAAGTTATTAGGTACAAACTAAAAAGTGAATAAAGTATGGACCTGAGTTAATAATGTATCAATATCGGTTCACTAATTGTCACAAATGTACCACGCTATGTTAGATGTTAATATGACAAACTGTATTTGTGTGGCGAAGGGAATGGTATTTGGTAACTCTGTGCCATCTGCTTTTTCCATAACTCTAAAACTGTTCTTGAAAAATAAGTCTATTAATTAAAAGAAAGATAACTGTTTAAAAGAAAATGAATAACAGTGTACTGGGAGAGTTATAAGATAAACAGAAATAAAATGTATGACTACAATAGCACAAAAGCCAGGAAATGAAAAATAAAAATATATTATTTTAAGATTCTTATAAGGGACATGGTATACTTTAAATTATGATAAGTTAAAGATGTATATTGTAAATGCTAGAGAAAACACTAATAGAGAGACAAAAATAATATAGTTGGTAATATATTACCAATAGTACATATAAAATGGAATCCTAATATTACTTTAAGGTAAACCATGACAGGTTTAAGATGTAGACTATAAACCCTAAAGCAACTACTTGGGGGTGAGGGAGATGGACTAATAAGCTGACAGAAAAGATAAATGCAATTATAAAAAAGAACTCAATGTAAATTAAAGAGAAATAGGAAAAAGATAAAAAATAAACAAGAACACATGTAACAGAGAACAAACAGTAAGATATTAGATTTAAACCTAATCATATCAATAATCATATTAAATGAAAATGGTTATCAGATTGGATAAAAAAGCAAGGCTGAAAGAAATCCACTTTAAATATAAAGACACAAATAATCATAAAAAAAGATTAGAAAAAGATAAACCATGCCAACACTAATCAAAAGAAAGCTGGAGTCACTATATTAACATTGGAAAATACAGATTCCAGGGCAAAGATTGTTACCAGGGATAAAAAGGGTCATTTCATAATCATAAAAGAATCAATTCACCAAGAGTGCTTAAAAATCTTAGTTTATATACCTAAAGAACTTCAAAATACATGAAGCAAAAATTGATAGACATGAAAGTAAAAATTATAAAATTGATTATTACAGAGATTTCAATATCCCCTTTCATTAAGAGAATAAAAACCAGTAAGGATATAGAAAACTTAAATAGCATCATGAACCAACCTGACCTAATGCACTTATAGAACACTCCACCCCACAGCAGCAGAATGCATATTCTTTTCAAGTATACAGAGAACATTTACCAAGATAGACCATACAATAAGTTCCAATAAATTTAAAAGTATCAAATCACACAAATTATGTTGTTATTGTATTATAAATCAATACGAAAAAGATATCTGGAAAATCTTTGAACATTTAGAAAGATATATCTTTCTTCTAGGTAACTCGTGAGTCAAAGAAAAAATTAACGAGTATTTGAACTGAAAAAGAAAATACAACATACCAAATTTTGTGATACAGCTAAAGCAGTGTTCGAAGGAAAATTTATAGCACTAAACATGTATATTATTAAAGAAAAAAGGTCTCAAAATCAATGTCCTAATCTTCCACCTGAAAAAACTAGTAAACTTATGGTCGGAAATCAACGAAACAGAAAACTAATAGAGAAAATCAATCAAATCAAAAGTTCTTTGAAGAGATCAATAAAATTTGTAAGCCTCTGTCTAGATGCATCAGGTAAAAAAATACCAATAATAAGATGAGTACAGGAGGTATATATAAAATATATCCATAATTTCTTTGATTTTTCTACCTTTAAAATTTGGTGTCTCATTTCTCTCCCTTTGATTATAGACTGGGTTTGAGGTTTGCTTCTAACAAACAGAATAAAGCAGAAGTAAATATATGTAACTTCGGAGGCTAGGGAAGACAGGGCACTGTGCAGCTTTCTGCATGATCTCTCTGAGGTATCTATCACTCACTCAGGAGAAGCTAGATGCCATGCTGTGATGCACTCAAGCAACACTAAGTAGGTCCATGTAGTAGGGAACTGAGGCCTCCTAATCAAGAGCAGTAAAAACCTAAGGCCACCGGCTAATAGTTGTGAATGACCAATCTTGGAAATAAATTTTTCAGCTCTAGTCGAGCCTTTAGACAACTGACATCCTGGCCAACATCTTCATTGCAAACTCATGAGAAACAATGATCCAGAACCATCCAACGAAGTCACTCAGAATGGATGAACCTTGAAATAATCATACTAAGCGAAATAAGGCAGACAGAAAAAGTTGAAAACCACATGATATCACTTACATGTGTGATATAAACCTAAAAGCAACAGAAGAGACATTACCTGGAATAAGATCAAACCTCTAGAAATATTTACCAGGGACAGAAAAATGTTATTGTTTTTGATTTTGTAATCCTTTAAGTTCCAAAAGAACTCAATCAACAACAACAACAAAAAAAACAGAAAGTGAAAAATAATAAAACCACTACAGAACCCATCACACAATTTCTTTAAAACAATTTTTAAAAGACAATGCAATATATATATGCCTGACTGTTAAATTGTACACCCGACTTACTAGATTTTGTTAAACAATGTCACCATAATTTTTTTAAATGTTTTATCGAAAAAAAAAATTCTTAATCTTCAGGAAAGGCGAGATAATAAATGTTTGTTGTTTTAAGCCACTAAGATTTGCAATAATTAGTTGTGTAGCAAAAGATGACCAATTTAGGGAGCACTATTATAGATCCTGAAGACGTTAAAATGATAATGGAATATTATAAATAACTTAAGTCAATAATTTTTAAAAACTAGATGAAATCAATAAATTCCTCGAAGGAAAAAAAACTACCAAAGTTTACTCAAGAGGAAAGGAATAATCTGAGAACAAAAGCTCATTTTAATCACACATGGATCACTTACCAAAAAAAAAAAAAAATCAGTAAATTCCAGATAGAATTTTTACAAACAACATTGCCTAATCGCATGCACTACAACTAGAGCTTAATAACAAAATTAAAAAAAAAATCTTCCATGAGAAAATTTTTTAAATCTACAATAAGATAACTTCTGGATGCAGGAGAACTACAAATTAAAATTATGTTATTTAAAAAAAAAACGATAAAACACTACATGCCAGCATGTACTTTAAAACAGTGATGAGAGGGATTCAATACAAAGCCTTAAAAACTCATCAATAAAACTGTGTTCTCACTAGCCAAATCTGAGACAATTTAATCATCAAAATAAATAATGGAAGTAATTATACTCCATTAAATAAATTATTTTTAAAATCTATGAGTCCATTCTGATGTAAATGGAAAAGGAACACTATTCCATATCATACAATGCTAATACAGAAGAAATGACAGGTAGTTAAAAATCATCACTTGGCAACCATCACTATACTTGACTCAAACGAGTCAATGGATACTATGAAACCGAGGTATGTGTGGCGTGTGGGAGCAGAGAAAAACATCAGTCAAATCCAAATTGGGGACATTCTACCTAATAACTAATCTGTTCTCTTAAAAACTGTCAAGTTCATGGAAAACAAAGACTAAGGAATTAGTCCATGTTGAATATACATGACAACTAAAATGTGCTGCTGAGCTCTTACATTAGATGGAAGGGGGCTGAAAAGGGGTATAAAATACGTAATTGCAACATTAAAAAATTGAATTTCGACTCCAGATTAGATAATGGTATATCGCGATTATATTTCCTGATTTTGATAACTGTACAATGGTTATGTGTGTTCTTGTTCTCATGAAATATACGCTCAAGTATTTAGGAAATAAAGGGCACTATGTCTTCAACTTCATCTCAAACTGTTCAGCACCCAATATTCTTCGTGTAGGTTGGAGTTCATTTAGCAAGTGAATTTAATAATTCACTCTATTTTTGAGAATTATGTTTTGAGGCTTCAAAACATATACTAAGTCCTAGGATATAATCCCTATCCTCAAAGGGTATGTGTGCTGGGGAGGGAGCTGATGATGGTCAAGGAACAAGTCTATATTCAAAATTCTAATCTAAGGTATCTGAGCGTAAATGCAGAGGGGAAAAATCCAGGCGCGGAATTAGACCGAGTTTAAAGGATTCTGTTGCGATCATGGACAAACAACTGAACCTCTCCATTTTCCCACGCCTTGATTTATTCAACTATAAAACGAGAATGATTTTTTTTTTTTTAACTTCTGCCTCAAAGGGCTGAGAATTAAGTGAAATAGTGCACTTGGAAAGAGCTTTGTAAACTTCAAAGCCCCTACACGTGTGTACTTTATGTAATAAAGTCCAGAAGAGAAACTATTTGGAATAGTTTACTAAAGGTAATTAATTGTTGTCAAGATTTCCTACAAAATATCGCAACTGGATGTGGTCAGGTACACACGGCTTGACAGCCAAAATGAGGTTTTCCTCTAAAATGTCCTTTCTACAGGGAACGCCGATGTAATTAGCACGGGTTCCGTGAACGGTCACCAGCCGTCGCGGGGGTGGGGAGTTGTGAGAGAAGAGATTGCCAAAAAAAATTGCGGAGGAGACGCAAGAGAGGAAGGAGAAGAACAGTTTCAAAGTGGGACAAACCCTCAATTTTGGAAAGGGGCGACACTCGGGGAGGAGAATGGGCGTGGCCCTCCGCCCCGCCCCCCGCTCCCGATGCGCGCTCGGGTCTCCCCTGCCCGGGCGTGGACGCGGCGGCGAGAAACGGGTTTCCAGCAAAAGCAGCAGTTCTCAAACCTCTAGGCTCCTAGTTGTTAGGTCCCGCCCCTCTCAATCCCCACAAGTCAGGGCTCCTAACCGCTCCGGTCACAGACTTCCAGCGGCGGGAGCTGCGCGGCGAAAGGGAGGCTCGCCTGGCCAGAGAGCAACACCGGGCGAGTACCTGAGCCGTAATGAATCCTTCATACACGGTTTTCGCCCGGTTTTGGGGCAGAAGCAACGGGCACTGGTGCATCAGACTCGCTTCCGTCTCCATGACTCGCCACCCGTAGAGCCGCAGGGCGGGTGTATCAGCAGGACGGGCTCCGCACATGCGCAGTCCCGCCTGCGCCCAGCGTGCCGAGGGCGGAAACACGGGCATTGGCGGGAAAAAGCCTCCAGGATTCTACGAGCGGAAATGAAGGTCTAGTTCTAGTGGAGCCACCTGGGCTTGCACCCAGCCAAAGTAGACGTGACTCATTAGAAGGCAACATTGGCCCCAGCCAAAGGCAACGTGGAAGATTGTTCTCAGGTTCACAGATCTGACTAAATATTATCATTCTAGCCCTGATTGTTCCGAGAACACTTTTGGTGATTTTGTTTGATTATATTGAAATACTGCTACAACTTTGGGGTTGCATTTCTTCCAGTATAAGATGTTTTTTATAGTCTACGTGTTGTAGTACTTCTTTTACCCTAAACGTGCCTCATCTCCCCTTTTTCAGTGTAATCAATCTATTGGCCTACTCCGTAGGATCTCCTATATGTCCTCAGCATTGAAGATAATGTATTATTCCGTATATAATACTATTTTATAATGTGTTATAATCCACTTAATATATTATACACAATATATTACAGTTCTGTCCCTTACCGGTTTAATCAGATAATATTGTATTTGAGAGACATCATCCCAACAGATGTCAACAGCAGACTGAATTCTGATACACTGCACTCAAATATCTAAGGCAAAACATGAGGGAAGATTGCTAATGATCTTGATGAACGAAAGTTAATTTTTCTTTGACAACCTTTCTAGGAACTTTATAGAAATGCAAATTTTCACCCTTCTATCCCAAACTCTGAGAATGAGACCCAAGCCCTCTAGGTGATTATAGTGCATACTATAGTTTTTCCCCATGAAACCTCTCACCTTCTGTCAAAGTCTTTCTCAAATGCTACCTCTTTTTAGGAACCTTTCACATCTGATGAAAGTTATTGCTCTGCCTAATCACTTAGTATGTTTTATAGGGCATTGTAAGTGCTCATTAACTATATACTAAGTTAAATTATATCCATTAGTCTTATAGACAAAGTAAAAACAAGTATTACAAGAAATAAGAGGAAGAAATTTCTCACAAGGTATTTGAGTTAGTTTCCATTTATAATATCTTAATAATCAGGCTGGATAGTATTATTATAGACTTTATGGGATTTACTTTAATTATGCTACAATGAGCATGTGTAAAGCACTTTCATATGCTATTTTGTTTTGATAGCAGTGCTCTTTAGATATTTTTTATAATGTCCATTTTCTACACAAGAAAACTGAAATTCTGAGATATTAAATAAGTTGCTCAAGATAGTAACTTAATGACCTGTACAATGAGGATTAAACTCAACTCTTCTAAATTTTAGATTCAATAATCTTTCTATTAATGCACGACAGAGATATACTTGCCATTATGAAACTCAGGAGAAGTTAATCTAAAGTTTTTAATGACTCGTTTTAACAAGAGGGCTTTCTTGAATTTAATTTTGAAAGTTTGATGACAGCTTTACCAACATAATATATTTCTCCTTATATAATTATAATATTTTCTCTTTAAGATCCACAATTGTGAGAGAAGAGAGCCTAAGAACATTTTGACCAATAGGTTCCTCAGGAGCTAAAGATTTTTCATGAAAGCAACCTTAAAGATTTTATACATTACATAGATTAAGGGAATGAAGCCCAGAAAAGGAAAGTAATTTTTTCAAAGTGCTAGCTGTATGTGTGTGTGTACACATATATATAAATACAGAGAGAGACCAAACTAATACAGTTCTGGAGACGCCTAACTAGGCCTGCCTCAAAACCTACAGTTTCCTATCCTCATTTACTACCCTGAGCTCTAAATGTCTTTGACTTTCTGTTACTGCATCTTTAAAAAGGCCTTTCTGGACTTGGAAGCTTCTGGAAACATATAACAGTTGAGTGTTCCCTGAACAGACATGAACCCCTGTCTAGACAAGCTATCTTCATCGCACTCACTGCCCCCGCCCCCCACCACCGTTCATACACTGAACCATGCAAGTAACAGTCAAAGACAGCTGGCTCTTTGCTTCTGAATCCTCATAACTAACTTATTTGGCTTAAAGGTTTTCACAAAGTGTATTGCTAGATATCATCTTAGTTCTTAAGGAAAAGATATCCAAGCTACCTTTCATGACACCTGAATTTAAAAATGAGCATTTACAGTATGATAAAGTCATAGTATGTTACTAGTGGTAGTTATTTTGGGGGAGGGAGATAGAGGACAAGGAATGAGGGTAATGGCCTGATGAGACTTTCTTCTGAACTGTTATATTTTAATGCTTTTAAGGAGAATTATTAGTCTAAAAAAATTTTAACTAAAATTTAAAATACACCATTTCAGTTAGAATCTATATTTCATTGCTCAAATTTTCAGCTTTGTCTCAGGTGTTTCTTCTCACTATTTCCATCAGTAATGGAAGAAGATAGGATACAAGCCATTAACATTGATGATATTAATAAGGGAGAGATTGCTTGAGTAGGCAGAATCTTGAAAAATGCCAAAATTAAGAAAGAGTAGAATAGCCATTTAGGAGTCTTCTCGAAAACTGTAAAAGCAGAACAATAATATCCTACTATCTATGACACTGTGTCATAGAAAGGAAAAGAGAGCAGATATTCAAGATTAAAGCGTGGTCAGCAGTGTGTAATGCTATGTAATGACTGAAAAGAATTACTGGAAGACCTTTAAATTTGATTATTGCAAAAGTACTGATTAACTTTAAAGAGTAATTTGCTCTTGACTGTTTTCTATCCAAACGCACATAAAAGAGCATTTCTTAAATAGTAATGTAGTGAAGAATTTTGGCATTATTTTTAAGTTTTGAAGTTTTGAGAAGAACATGTTGATAATAAATAAACTATAAAGTCTTAGTTATGTGACCAGAGTTTGGTAGGCGATATACGGAAGAGACATCCTAATTCATACAACCCTATCCAAACTCCATAGAAGCAAATTCATTACATAGGTTTTACCAATAATGAGTCTAGATCCATGGCAGGTCCAAAATAATAATGTCTGCCTCAATCCAGGCAGTAAACTTGAAAAGCAGTGACGCCTGCAGCCCAACCACAGGTGAACAAAGGAGCATTTAAGGGAAAGGTCTGCTACAAGAGTTAATGGGTTACAGGAGTGGACTGAAATCGGGAGACTATGAGGTCATCATCTAAAGAAAGGATAAGAAGGTAAGTGGGTTATTCAAACAGTCTCTGAAGACCCTTGTGAAATAGGAAAATCCAGGTTATTATACAACCCTCTTCTCCAGCAAAGCATAAAAAGACCCTCTTCCTAGGAAACATCATCTCCACATCAAAGCCACTTATGGAGAGATTAACACCTTACATTTTTTTGATAAACAACTGGAAGAAAAGTCCTCAGATGGCTAAAACCTAACAAAGACTCAGGTAATAAGTGTTGCAGTTAAGGGTGGTAGAATAGATGAGAATTACTCACATGGGGAATGCAAATTTGGAAAGGCCATAACAGTAAAGTTTGTGAGAATAATAAATACTTAGGTCCGGAAAAGAGTAGTTGTTAAGAGGAGGATGATAGATGTAGAAAATTTGAAGGAAAAAATGACTTCATTTTGAAATTTTTCCTGAGACTAGTCACCTCCATTTACCCAAAGATACCAGAAGGAAAGCAAGAGAAAAGTATATGCAGAGAAGAAAAATAGGATGCACAAAGCCCTCACTTTTATTCTGGAAAACTGAAGCTGATAAAACTGAAGCTGGACACCTATTTATATATAGATGTCCAGGCTGTGTCCTTGACTACTGGTTCTCAAAGTGTGGTCCTGACCCAGCAGCATCAGCATCACCTAGGAAGATGTCAATCCAGACCTACTGAATCTCTTAATTCTGGAAAAAGAGCTTATCAATCTATGTTTTAAGAAGCATATGTTTATAACAAGTGTATTTTAACAAGGTATTCTGTTGCAAGCTAAAATTTTAAAACCATTACCCTAGACTTAGTAAATCTATATTTTCACATCTGATTCTATTGTGCAGCCAGTTGAAAATCACTGCGCTAATCAAGTGAATAATTACTCAGAGCTTTTACAGTTCCAAGCTCAGAGTTAGCCAGTTACATGCCTAACTCTTAGAAGATATTAGACTAAATGAATAAATGTAGTTTATAAGTGCCAAACCATTATTTAAAAGGCTGCTTTAATGCAGAGATTATTTTAATTATGAAGAGAGAAACATTTTTTATAAGCTTGAAAGATCAGTTCCAAGTTGGGTCTAATATTCGAGAGCTGAAATTTTCTTGGCCTTTCCCTCATGGTCCCAAGAGAGCAGCTGGAGCTCTGGCCATCTAGATGGAAGAGTAACAGTAGCTTTCCCAGAAGCTCTTTTGAAAACGTCTTATGTCACACTGGCCATCCCTGTGTGTAAAGGGTCTGAGAAATGCAGTCTTTCAGCTAAATACATCGCTTAAAATTCTGCTAGTAATACTAACGGAGAGAATGGGTGAGATGGATCACTTTCCTTTAGGCAACACTATGAAATCTCCCCCCTAAACAACAACAACAAAAACAACAATAACAAAGATTTGAACTTTGTTGGCAAAACATTATTAATAAGATACATACTTTACATGATAAATATTCAGACCAAAAATCCATTGTAAATACATTTACTTACAAAAATACAATAGTATGTTTTTCTGTATTTTCTGTTTTTTTCCAAGATGATTTTTCTCTTCAAAGGAGTACTAAAAATAATTTATATTTAGTTGACTAACTAAAGTGAACATCATCTGTAAAAATTATTAAGGATCAAGAAATCAGATGAATAGGTAACATTATAAGAAGAAATAAAGAACCAATTTTACATTTTTGAAACTTATGTATGATATATAGTAATGAAATGTGCTACAAATTGAATAAAGGATCCATGAAATTACAAGCATATTTTCCACCTTAAAATATCCTTCAGCTATGAAAAATAAATAAGACATGGTTTTGTTTTATGCCATTCCTTTAAAGAATCCTTTGTTGATAAGAATAAGATTTGCTAAAGTAGCAATTTGGCTTCTAGTTAATGTGCTTGTTTCTACCTATAGACAAAATAGAGCAAGTAAAGTAACATGAAATATT